AAAAGCAACTTGTTCTGCAACAGTTTTCACAGGCTACACTCACATGTCGTTCCCCTTCTGTGTAATGAAAGGAGAGCTTCCCAGATCCAGTAAATGCAAAAGAAATGAAGCAATTATTGGTTCCACCTGCTTTCTGCCTGTTGCTGGTCATGCCCCCTTTACTGGCCTGTAACTGGAGTACAGGATGGCCAAGGTTCTCTGGGCTTCTGGTGACCCTCACTCTTCCATCCCCATCGGCGGCTTCTCTGATGCTGTGAATTGATGGAGCAGAAGAAAACCTACAGTTTCTAACTGGCAGGACTGTAAGTGTTCTTTCTGCCTCCACCACCACTTACAACGCCTTGCTCTCGTGAATTCAACCTCCCAAGTCAACAAAATACAACAAATAGTTATTGTCTCTCCGAATTGCCTCAGTTTCCCGTGACCGCTTCCTCCCACCCAGCTGTCTGGGGAGCTTTCTATTTCTAAACGAAGGCAGAAAGATGGCAGCGATGATGGACACCAGCACTGCAGTCTTCCCCAAGGTAGCACTCACACAGCGGGGAGTGTCCTGTACTCTAGTTGGACACACCGTGGATCTTCCAGACGGGGACGAACACAGCGTCTGGTAAGGAATGCCTTTCCTACCTACACTCAGATCATTTCTCTCTCTCTCTCTTTTTTTTAATAAACTTTTTTTTTAAGAGCAGTTCCAGGTGTACAGCAGAATTGAGCAGAAATACAGTTTGCACAGAGCCCTCCCCACCCACACATATAGACTCCTCTACCGTCAACATCCCTCGTCCGTGTGGCATATTTGGTACAATCGATGAACCAACATGGATACATTATTATCAACCAAAGTCCATAGTTGACATGAGGGTTCACTCTTGATGTTACACCTTCTATGGGGTTTTGACAAATGCATAATGACATGTAGCCACCACCATGGCATTATACAGAATGATTTCATTGCCCTAAAAATCTCTTGTGTTCCAACTATTTATTCCTCCCTCCCTCTCTCTCCCCAAAGCCCTGGAAACCATGCAGATCATTTCTCTTCCATGCAACAAAATCTAGCTATGCCTTGAATTGAAGGGAGAGTTAAGTCTTTTTCCCCCTTTGATGGTATAGGTTTTATCACTTCCTACTAGCTAGCAAAGTCTAAATTGAGGTTGCTCTTTAGCTACTGTTTTAAAGTGGGAGTCTCCGGGATACATATTTTAAATATGTTGCTGCCTTTGCTGTGTTTAGCAACCCGAGGGGGCAGGCATGATTGCCTTTGTTACAGTCTGCAGGACCTAGGCTCCATGTCCTTTTCTTTTGCTAATAGCATTCTGATTTCCTTTGATAACCAGCTGTTTCCCGTTGGGTGTGGCTTCAGATTGGGCGTGCCCCTTAAGCAATGTGCTCTGCTCTCCTCTTAGTCAAGAAATAGATGTGCAAGCCAGGCTGCCCCATTCACCCTGCGGGGCTTGCCCCGGAGTAG